GGAGAGGAAGCCCCCCGGAGCCAGTCAGCCCGGAGTGTTGGAAGCGCAGCAGGGCCCCCTGCGGTTGAAACAGGGAACAGAAAGGAGAGTGCTAGGGTGGGCCTTTTTAAATTGTGTTTTATTTATTGGTGTATGTATGCACCTGTGTGGGCCACTGTACACACATGGAGTTCAGGAGACAACTTTGGGGAGTTGTTTATCTCCTACCATGTCAGCTCACGTCATCAGGCTTGCAAGCAAGTAAAGGAAGCACCCTTAGTTTCTGAGCCACCTCACAGCCCACTGAGCAGTTAGAAAGGAAGAAAGTCAGAGACGGGCAGGGACAGGAAAGGAGGAGGGCTGCAAGATGGGCTCCTCCGTCCTCCTGTAGTGAACGGATGCTGCTTTCTTATCCACTGGTGTTCCTCATACGGTGCCAGCCAGGGAGCTCTGGTTTCACTTGGGGCCCTCAGTGGCTTGAGGACCAGGTGCCTGGGCAGGTGCTGTGTAGATGATCCAAAAACACAGGATGGCTACAGGGCTCTCGGGGGTCATACACTTGGAGGGGACTGTGCATTTTTTTTTACTGGCTTCTCAAGTCTGACAGGAAGACAAGAAATCACACCTCTACCTCATTGAACAAACCCTGGCTTTTAGTTTGACATACTGCGCCCCCTTGGCGTCCTGTAAGTCCTCATGAATGTGTTTAAAGTAACTTCTGTACTGACTCACTCTTAAGGGCCTTAGTTCAGGTATGTTACCATTTGTTTTGGATAGGTATATGCCAAAAATACTATACAGCAATAGTAATGAAAAATATTAGAAGTTGTTTAAAGATGTGATTTTTTTTTTCCTCCTAAAGGTAAAAAAATCCATTGTTATGTCTTTGTTTGACTGGTAGATCTTCTTACTTCTCATTTTTTTGGAGGAAAGATTTCTCTGTGTAACCTTGGCTGGCTTGGAACTCACTTTGTAGCTGAGACTAGCCTCAAATTTACAGATCTGCTTGCCTCTGTCCCCTGAGTGCTGACATTAAAGATATGTGCTACCTACCATGCCTAGTTAATAAATCTTCCATAGCAAATTACACTATTCCCTAACTGTATATGCCAAAACCAAATC